AGGGACAAAGTCTCCGCTGCTGGCACTTGGGCCCAGCCCCATCTGGCCAGGCCCAGGCTGTGAAGCAGGGACTCGAGCCCTGTGTTTGGGGAGTGCAGAACGAGGCTCGCCCAGGCCTGAGCACAGAGGCCAAGTGCTGCATTTTGGGGCCCGGGGACAGAGCCCAAATCCTGCGTGTGAGTGCTTGGAACGGGAGCCCTGGCCGGGATTTCAGGGTGAGTGCAATGGTGCTGTGACTCCTGCGGGGCTGGTTCTTTTTAAGTGCTGTCTAAATGAACCATTTCTGACAAATACAGGCAGGAGCAGGGGAAGAATCTCTTCCAAGGTATTCTGGAACACTCAAGGAAACAGCAAGGACACACAGGTTACAAAGGAGAGGGGGGGTCAGTCAGATTCTAACACGAAGCCATTAACCACAGAAACAGTGATTACAGTCTATATCTTACCTGAATTTATACATTTGATCTTATTCGCACTTACAGTTCATAAGCTTAGGATTTAAAATGCCTTAATTTGTTTTGTTCTGTGACTATTTGGGATAATATGATAACATTTCATACCAGAAGGTGGTGGCCACAGCCAAACCCTGAATTTCCATCACTTAGCTTACTGTTTCAGTGGATTTCCTTACAGGGATTCAGCCTCTCCCTGACCTAAAGGTGGCTTTTTGTCACTTGGTTTGCTTTAAATGCTTCCTGTGCCATTTGTGTCCCTTGTCCAGCGAGGAGCTTCCCATGAACTGTGCAACTCCTTATGCCGACAGCATTTTCTCACTCCTTTCGATGAGTTCTGGACCCTGGCAAAAGGAAGATCCCTGGGAGCAACAGTGTCAGGAGGGGTGACTGGTGTGTCTGTGACACGTTCAGTGCTCATTAGGCTGTGACTACACTCACACTAACTAATGGGCACGAGAGCAGCAGGCCGGGTTCGGCCGGGCTCGGCTCCGTTCGGCTGAACTCGGAGTCGCTCTCAGGGTTCGGCCGGGCTCGGCTCGGTTCGGTTCGACCGACCCCGTAATGTTCAGGTTGGTTCGGCTGATCTCGCGCTGGTTCGGCTTATCTAGGTCGGTTTTGCTTATCTAGTTCGGTTCGGCTGAATGCTGTTTCGTCCCGTTCAGTTCACCTCAGCCAAACTCGGATCGATTCGGCAAATCCCGGCCAGAGTCGGCCCTTCGGGTACGCTCGGCTGTTGTCGGCCGCACTCGGCTCTTCGGCCACACCTGACTCTGCTCC